CCAATACTGCCGGCAGCATGGGAGAGCAGTGGGTCATCCACAAAAATCTGCTCTGCTCCCCACCATAAGCCAGCTGCTTATATTGGGTAGGAGGACAAAGATTACATGGGAAAGTAGGCGAAGGGTATGCCAAATGGGCAGTTTACAGGTAATACGGGCTGGGGATTTGCAAAGACCTTCGGGTATGCAAAAGCTAGAGGTCTTCAAAGGGCTAGCATCTCTGGTTTTTGGTTCTGTTTTCTGCAACAAGGTTGTTAATCTTTCCATTAAAATAGGCAGCTCCCTGACGGGGAGAATGGGCTGCATTTCCAGGTGAGCTCCCAGCCAGGTTAGAATGTGCCTTATTTAATCAGAATAAAACAATCATGATTAACAGAACATGATTAATATTTCTTACAATTCTAGCTGGTTCCCAATATTCTATTTCTACCCCTATCATAATAATTTTACTTCAGTGGTCAAGGAATCTATGTGGGATTCAGCCATCTGCTAAATTCATCTATTCTAACTGTACATTCTAGAACATGGGAAATGAACAACAGGTGGGTCTGTAGAGGCAGTGAATGTAATCTATAACTGTGAGAGGGAGCGGGGACAGGGCTCCATTTATTACCAAACCTCCACATGCCCTATGATGGAGCTTTGGGTCCTCAGGGTTCTCAGTGCCAGCTCAGATAATCTATGCAACCTCAAAAGATCTCAGTACCCCCCTTCCCCATTGTATGGATATTTGAGTAAATAGCTGTAGTTTACTTCGGGGAAGAACATCGGGAATCACTACTGCATGCACCTCACAGGGTATTGCAGGGTACTTCCAGATGGAGATCCAACCCTTTCAATGGTGGGTTCTCAATCTAACTTACTTAAAACTAACAGTCCCCTTTGGAAACCAAGAGCTCTGACCCCACCATTCAGGGCTATACAGATGGTCCAGCTGGAGTGACCACAGTCCTTGTCTAAATGTCTGAAATGAGGGTGGAAAGTGGGGAGTGCACAGGGCCCAGGGAATAGGGATACTTTTTAAAGTTGCATGAATTTCTCCTGATTCTTCAATGGCCCCATTTATAAATGTCCACAGTGCCTGAGTCAGCGTGGGTATCAGGGGTGGAGGACAAAGTTGGTGCTGGGGGAGAGAGGGAGAGGGTTTCTGCCTAATTATTTCTAAGCTTCTAACAGGACCCTTAAACACCAAGACAAACTTCTCTTTTACAATAAGTTTCTGAGGACTGGTGCCAAGCAAGAAACCCCCACTTCTTTAGTCCACCAGACAATACCCTCTTTGTCCCTCCTCTTCCCACCAGATGAGACCAGCCTCCTCCCACAGCCATATGTTGGCAACATGTGCCAAGACCTGGAGCAGCAGGACACCCAGGGTGCAAGGATCACCCAAGGTTAGGGAGTAGAAAGGAGTGCAGAGGCCTGGCATCTCGTACCCCACAATGATTGGAAGAAATAACTTTCTCTCTCCCTCCCTCTTTCTTTCCACAGATGGCTGTATCTATCTAGTTTGGGGGAGAGCAAGACACCATCAGGACCAAGGGTTGAAGAGGGGTCAGCAGAAAGAATCAAAACAAGAAGGAAAACCACCCCAGAGAAATAGATATAATGGTATGGGGCCTGGGATACTACATGACCTGGAAAGAAGAGAGCTAAGCTAGTCCTGGGCCCATCATCACATGAAAATCTGGAGGAAACAAATATATAAGCTAAGCCCAGCAGGTGTTGCTCAGTGGTTAAGCTTCAACCTATGACCCAGGTGGTCACAGTTCTATTCCTGGTCAGTGCACATGCCCAGGTTGCAGGCTCAATCCCCAGTGTGTGGTGTGCAGGAGGCAGCTGATCAATGATTCTTTCTCATCTTTGAAGCTTCTCTCTTTCCCCCTCCCTTCCTCTCTGAAATAAATAAAAATATATATTTTTAAAAATATATATATAAGCTAATAACTTCTTTTTTGTTTGTTTAATCCTCACACGAGGATATTTTTCCATTGATTTTTAGAGAGAGTGGAAGAGAGAGGGAAAGACAGAGAGAAATATCAATGTGAGAGAAACACATCGTGCCCTGCACGAGCCCTGAGGGCTCAGCTGGGGAGGAGCCTGCAACCGAGGTACGTGCCCTTGACCAGAATCGAACCCAGGACCCTTCAGTCCGAAGGCTGATGCTCTATCCACTGAGTCAAACCGGCTAAGGCTAAGCCTAAGCTGATAACTTTTTAAGATTGTGTAGGTTTAGACTCTGTAACATTTACAAATAGTCAGCAAATGCATTTCTCACCAGCATGGCAACTCAAAGAACTGTTGATAAAGAGACAGAATCCTGGTTTTACTCTATGCTGATCCCATCTGGGGTAATTAATTAATCAGAATAATTCATTATCTGAATTTAGAAAATTGGCCTTCCTGCACTCTCTTTCTTTTTTTTCCTTCCTGCACTCTCTATCAAAGGCAAGTCCTTCTGCCCATGTGAGCATGCAATACTGTGACGCAGCTATTAATCCCAACCACTAGGTTTTCCTTCTTGATCCTCTGCTGCCCCACAGTGGGACTCACAGTTGACCCACTCCTCAAAGTCCTTTCCACTTTTGCAGGTCCTTCCTCTGTGCCTTTCTTTACCAGATTTTCCATGCCCAGTAAAGTCTTTCCTAGATTGTAGGCCACTGCCCATCCCAACAATCAAGCCTTCTTTCTCTATGATTGTGAAGGCAGTAAGTCCCTGGGACCCTAGAGCCGGGTGATGGGAACAGAGGAGAGGAGGAAAGCCAAGTGCAGAAGACCAGGGAGGACATCTTCATGGTGACCTTGAAAGAGATCATGGACTATTCCAAAGACAGAGAAAGCCAGTGGACTGAGTGTTGTGGATGGAAGGTATATACAGGGGTGGACAAAAGTAAGTTTACAGTTGTTCATATGGAAAAATATATAATACAAGATAAATAATAATGCAAGAATAAACTCTGTTTTGCACACTCATGACTGTAAACCTACTTTTGTCCACCTGCATGTGCTGTTTTCACAAGATCAAGGGGCAGTCCCAATTAAATTAGGCATAAGAAGAAGAGTTAGGAAAGGAAATATCAGATCCCTAAAAGATCAGCAAAAGACACAAATAGAAATACACAGATTCTTCTGCCTCCCCCTCCCCACAGCACAGCTGCTTTCTCCTTCCCCATCACTTCCCCATTCTTACTTCCAGGCCTCAAGTCTCGCAGGAAATAATGTCAAAGTCAGCTCTTAACCAGGCATGTCTGATCTCTCAGCTCCACAACTGCACTTGTCTGAGGCTGTTCCTACTTAAAAAAGTATCAGACTCACCGTGCCCAGGGATGTTGGGTGAAAAGTGAGCCAACCTTGGGGTCAGTCAAACCTGGGTTCACATGGTGGCTCCACCAGTCACTAGCTGTTTTACAGGGACTTAATCAAGTGACTTAATCATCTATGCTACATTGCATCAGTGAGTCCTCTCATGGCTGTCATGAGAATTCCGTTTTTAAAACTAGTCTATGTAAGCTTCATGAGGGTAGAGGCAGCGTGTCTCTTGATCTGCCCTGCACCCTCATTGCCAAGGGCATTGCTCAACATTGAGAACTTGCTCAGTAAATATAGCCCATAGTTCAGAGTCTAGGCTAGGTGCTCACTAAATGTTTTTCTTTTTCTTTCCATAAACTATTACAGCTACATGGGACCCTAAGGATCCTCCACGCCATTTTACACATGAGAAAATGGACTCAAGTAATTTATATGGGTCATACAGACTGCAAGAGGCAGAACAAGACAGAGGCCAGTTGCTCAGACCTTGTGGAACTATTGATACAAGGCACAAAAGAAGAGATAAAGAGTGAGATTAGATAACAAAATGCCCCCCAAACTGCAGAGAATCAGAAATCTCAAAGAGGAGAAATCGGGAAAATAGTCTGTATCTCCTAAGTAGGAGTGATTAAGGCACATGGACTAGGAAGGACATTGGCTGGAACAGAAAAGTTTTAGTCAGAAGTTATGAGTAACAGGAGTAATGAATAAAGACAGAAAGAGGAGGACCCTGGGTAATTATATAGTGGTATTTATTAAGCAAATACTATGTAACAAGTATATACATACATACATACATACATATATATAATCTCATTTAATTCTCACCAAAAACAAGGTCTGTAAAATCTGGATCATTAACCATAACTCACTCTATTGGGTAAAATCCTAGTTAGGGGTTATTGTTTTGAATAATCAGAAGAAGGTCAAAATCCTAAGTAGGCATTACACTTATCCCAAAAAGTGTGTGTTCAGGGAAGAGAAAACAATGAGGAATTACTGAAGATGAGTGAGGGAGATGGGGACATCGGGAATTTGAGATGGGGATATTAAAAGCAAGAAAAAGGAGCAGACGTAATCACTCTACAGTCACTCGACCAGGCAGTTAAACTCTTAAGTTGGATGGAAAGAAAAGTTGCAAATAATATAAAGATTAAAAATCATTTTTATGTTGTTTTGGAATAGCTATGAATATTGTTGTGTCGGTTTCCTCAGTATTCCCAAGATATCCCAAGAAAGAAACTATTCAAGTGACTCAGGAAAAGTCAGCAGATCTGATGTTCCTCTCCCAGCCTCCCTCTTGTGGCAAAATAGGATATTACCGCTTCGACTCAAGAAACACCAACACAAATGCAAGTGTCTAGCTTGGACCTTACTGAAGGGAGGACATTATGTGTATGGTGGCTGCTGCAGAGTTCCAGGAAGCTGTCAGCAAGAGCTGAATCATCCTGTTCACCCTGCAGTAGTTGATCAGGTTTCCCAAAATTGCACCAGCACATCTGGAGGTCTTCATTGCTCAACCCCTTCTCCCCATGGCTGTTTGCTCAGCCTGGTACATCAACAGATGGATTAATCAGCTTAGCACATGAAGTCCCCTTTGCCAATGGGGATCCAAATGCAAACAAAAAAGGTACAGATACTTGTCGAAGTCTGGAAATTAACCCTACTTTCAACCCAATGAATGAGTCCGTTACTGTTTTGTGGATGCTGGCAGAATACAGGAGAGCGAGACGAAGGACTGGTGATCGTGGCACAGCAAGCAGCATGAGCAGCATATTGGCCAGGGTTGTCCTGAACCCCTAACTCCCAGGCAGTAACTTCAAAGAATCCAGGTGGATGCTCTACAGGCAGGAGGCTTGCAGTACAATCAAAGAACACTGAGCTTGAGGAATGCACGCTTTTATAGTCAGCTGTCATAAGCCTGGTTAAAATCACACGGGGTTTTGCATACATGACATGCTCAGTATGAATGTACAGGAACTTCAAGGCCCATGGCTAATTGCCCTTCCCAAAAGCACCCTCCCCAATTTCTTCCTCCACCCCCACCTCCGTGCTCGATCAGCCGGTTGTTCCCTGACTCACAGCAGATTGTTCCTACGGGTGAGGCAGGATTGCCTCAGAACAGTGCTAACATACTGATCGTCGGTGACTCCCATGGATGTGGGACGCAGGAAAGGTTCAAGATTCCGGGCTACAGCAGCCAACAGCCCTGCCCTTCTGTGTGTGTGTGTGTTTGGAGATGTGGGGAGAATCTGTGCAGTGCCCCCATCCAATCTACAGCACCGTAGGGGGTTTTTCACCCCCTGCTTTCCTCACAACCATCACCCAGGATGCCCCCTGTGGTTCTCAGGTCAATCCTGGAGGAAGGGGAGAGCACCAATATTCCTATCTGGGCTTTCCAAAGGAATCAGGCAGAGGAACATCCTCACTGGCAGTGATCAAGGCCATAACTCAGTGATCTCCTGGCAGGGCATAAGCCATGAAGGATTGACTGCCCTTTTTGTTGCCCCCCCATTGGCTCTCCTCTTCCTCAGCCATGATTGGTTGGGAGAGGATGGCCCAGAGCTCCCCCTTCCCTAGGTTCCCTCTGTCTCTTGTGGGTAGCCCTCCCTGCCAAGGGAAAGGAGGGTTCTCCTGCCATTGGGCATTGCCGCCAGCCCCCTCACTGGCCCTGGAAAGCTCCAGGTTTTTCATTCGGTACAGGAGCAGAGGGATGGGCCATTTTGTTTGTGGAGTCCCTCAGCCAAGGGGGAGGTGGTTTCCTTAGTTGAGGAAATCCCCCTGAAACTATAGTAAAAAGAAAAAGAGATGGTAGGAGCGAACACATAAGAAAATTACTGGCCAGAAGGTCCAACAGTTATGCAATAGAAGTTACACATAGAATGAATTGAGGAGGAATAGACTCATACCAAAGCATATTGTCATGAAATTTCAAAAAACTAGAGAAAAAAATTAAAATTTTATAAGTTTCTGGATAGGACAGAAAAAAAAAACCCCACACAGGTCATACACAAGAGTCAGAAATCAGAAGGAGGAAACCCTATACACTGCTGGTGGGAATGCAGACTGGTACAGCCATTATGGAAAACAGTATGGAGTTTCCTCAAAAAATTAAATATGGAACTGCCATTTGACCCAGTGACCCCACTTCTAGGAATATATCCTAAGAAACCAAAAACAGCAATCAGAAATAATGTATGCATCTCTATGTTCATAGCAGCCCAATTTACAATAGCTAAGATTTGGAAACAGCCCAAGTGTCCACCAGTAGATGAGTGGATAAAAAAAAAGCTGTGGTACATTTATAGCAGTGCAATTTATAATAGCCAAGATCTGGAAACAGCCCAAGTGTCCATCAGTAGATGAGCAGAGAAAAAAGCTGTGGTCCATTTATATCATGGAATACTATGCAGTAGTTTAAAAGAAGGATCTCTTACCCTTTAATACAGCATGGGAGGACCTGGAGAGTATTATGCTAAGCGAAATAAGCCAGTCAGAGAAAGACAAGTATCACATGATCTCACTCATATGTGGAATCTAATAGACAAAATAAACTGATGAACAAAATAGACCCAGAGACAGAAGCATGGGACAAACTGTTTGAATCTCAGAGGGAAGGTGGGTGGGAAGAAATCAACCAAAAAACTTGTATGCATATATGCATAACCCATGGACATAGACAATAGGGTGGTGAAGGCCTGGGGTGAGGAGCAGGGATGGGCTAGAAGAAGTCAGTGGGGGGTGAGGGAGGAAGGGACATATGTAATACTTTCAACAATAAAGATGTAAAAAATAATTTAAAAAAAAGAAATCAGAATGGTGCTCTGGCCAGTGTTTTTCAGTGGTTAGAGTGTCAGCCCATGGACCTAAGGGTTGCAAGTTCAATTCCTGGTTAAGGGCATGTATCTGGGTTGCAGGTTTGGACAAGTTTCTGGATAGGACAGAAAAAAAAAACCCACACAGGTCATACACAAGAGTCAGAAATCAGAATGAGGAAACCCTATACACTGCTGGTGGGAATGCAGACTGGTACAGCCATTATGGAAAACAGTATGGAGTTTCCTCAAAAAATTAAATATGGAACTGCCATTTGACCCAGTGACCCCACTTCTAGAAATATATCCTAAGAAACCAAAAACAGCAATCAGAAATAATGTATGCATCTCTATGTTCATAGCAGCCCAATTTACAATAGCTAAGATTTGGAAACAGCCCAAGTGTCCACCAGTAGATGAGTGGATAAAAAAAAAGCTGTGGTACATTTAAAGCTAGAAGACAACAGAAAGATGCTAAAGAAAATTTAGCAAAGAAAATTATTTATTTATTTATGTATTCCTTTAACCGCTAAAGAAAATTATTTCTAACCTAAAATTCTATACCTAGCCAAACTGTCAATCAAATGTGAAGGTATAATAAAGACATTTTCAGATATACAAGCTCTCAAAAATTTTACTTCCAGAAGCTTCTTGATAATGTGTTTTTATCAAAATGAAAAATAAAAATAAGCTAAGAGAAATATATATACATATATATATTCGTGCACTCGGGGGCGGGGGGTCCCTCAGCCCGGCCTGCACCCAATCGCAGTCCGGGACCCCTTGGGGAATGTCCGACTGCCAGCTTAGGCCCGCTCCCCTAGCAGCCCTGAACACCAATCAGAATGGGGGAGCAGAGAGCATCTTGATTAAGTGTCTGAGGCCTGTCTGGAGGAGGAGTGCCCTGAGATGTTCAGAGATATCACCTACTACCTGAACTGAGTGTTCACAGCTTCTTATGTTCTACTCACCAGCACTGAGCAAGAGAAGGGCCAAAGCACCTTGAGGAAAGGGGATATGAAAGGGTAGGTGACCTCAGAATCCTACTTAACCCACTAAAACTATGCTCAAAGCTCTGGGTTCAGGGCAAGAATGGGCACAGAGAGGGACATTGTCAACCCACTCCTGAGTATCATGAAAGGGGCCTACGTTTAATTTATGTTCTTATCTTGAGCTCCCCAGGGAGAAAAAAGAAAGTGTCCTGGATAAGGCACTTGGCCCTTTAATTCTCTCTCACATTAGTATTTTTTATTACATTGTGTTGGGTGGGAAGTATATGGAAATGTTGTCTTTGATATTTAGTAATGGAAGAAAAATTTTAAAAAACTCAGAAGGAGAAGAACCAAGATGGCGGCATAGGTTAACGCCGGAGCTTGCTGCCTCGAACAACCACTTCAAAAATACAACTAAAAGAACAAATAAAGAAAAACATGTCACAGGAGAACATTTTCAGATCAATGAAGAAACCAGAAGTCCACATGAATAGCCCAAGGCTAAGGCAGATTACAGTGGGATATCTCACCCCACTTATGAGAAGCGGGGCAGACTTGGACCAGAGGGAGGAAACCTCAAAAGACTGGAGTCCCGACAGACTATGGGGGAACAGGAGACGGCACAGAGTCATTCACACCCCCATAGAAACTTCCTGGGAGGATTGAGATTTCAGAGAGGGTATAGAAGCCTAACATAGCTTTCCAAAAAGAGGTAGAAAGATTGTTGCTGACCAGGAAGGTATGAGACAGCTGAGAGAGGAGGGTGACAGGACCTGACAGGTATACAACCTGCATTTAGGACAGAGCCACTTTAGGATAGCATGTTGTTCTGTATGGGGGACCCCTTTGCAAACGACCATCAGGCCACAAAAAAAAATGCATGGAAAGACCTGCATTTCCATGTGACTGGCTTCTGCTCTATTCTGTGTTTTATTTATAATGCATTAAATATCATCTTGAAAGGAATAAATAAATAAATTCTAAAAATTAAGAAAACATAAAATTTGTCTCAGCAAATGAAGAGATGGCACAAAAGACTAAGTACTGGTGATCTAGGGGTAGGGTATGCAGAGAATATAGGCTGTAAAGGAAAAGACACCATAATAAAATGTGCCTCATTCCCTGGAAGACATTGGGTGTTCTTTGGGTGGGGGTCGTCTAGAATCTGACTCCAACCTCCCTTTTGAATATATCACTCCATCTGCCATAGCCTCACTCTCCTTCCTGAACTCCATTTCCACCAAATGGCTTCAGTGACTCTCAGATAGATCTGCTGACATCCCTTTTGGTCCCTGCTCATTTATCGATTGATCTATTTTTGTGTTTATTTGTTGTCTTCTTTCTGCCAGGAACTGGGCTTAGTACTGGGGACAGAGAAATGGACAGAACACACATTCCTGTCCTTGTAAAATTTGCCCCCTGCTGCCAACAGAGATTCTTTCCCTGTTGGGTATTTCCCTCATCCACAAGCCTTTCCCAATGCCGTTCCACACTTAACTTCCTCCTCTGATGAAGCTCTTGTCACCCATCCTTAGTTGCAATTGTATAAGATTTGCAGGAATGTCTGGGCCACACTTGGCTATTAGACTTTTCAGACTTTTGTAATTAAGTTATGAAAACTTATTTTTTGTTTTTAGCTTTCAATCATTAGGCACTATTCATTTTTCATCTGTTTCATCTTTAAAACTAGAAAAGCCAAAAGATCCTCTCTGCACTATCATAGCTATCATCTGATTTTCAGACTGTGCTTTGAGTCAATACTTTCTGCTTTTGAGTTCATTACATTTTTTTTAAGCTTCCCAGCCCTATGGACTCAATCATCACACCTTGCCTTTGCATTTCTCAAGCTGTTTGGCATCTAATATTTTGCCTTCACTGAGCATTTTATTCCAGTTGACCATAAGAGGTGACTCAGTTGGCTGTTTGACCCTCCACTCCTTATAATAGCCTGCAGGACCCTGCCTTTAACCCCAATTTGGCCCCATAACCAAGCCTGGTTCCCCTTCCTCCATTTCCCTGAGTGACTGTTGCTTAAAAAGAATCCTTTTCCAATTTCGGTAACAGTCACATCATTAGTTACTGAAACAGATTCCGATTCTGACTTTAAGCAGAAAATACATTTATTTACCAGTTAGTTCTTGAAATCAATGGAGAAACTAAGACTTAGGCAGGAGAAGCACAAACCAAATAACACCATGGGACTAGTCCTGTAATCACATGCTGCCGCCAAGAGGGCAACAGTGTGGACCCATGTCAAAGTCCCAGTCCCAGATCACCTGGCTCAGCTCCACATGGGCAGATCGTCTGCATTCACTGAGGAAAACACACCCAGCCTGGCCTGTGCATCCTGCTTCCTCACCGTCAGCTGAGGAGCCCAGCCGGGCACTCTCATTGGCCTGTGCATCTACCTCACCTGGGCAGGGCTCCAAGCCAAGCTGCTCCCAAAACTATATCTGGCCGTCTCTCCGAGTCGTCTGCACCGGGACCTGGGAAGTCCAGTGCCTTCCACTCAGACACGATGAGCACAGTGATGCCTGTCCTGCTATCCCTGCTGCTTGCTGTGAGTCCTGCAGTCGCCCAGAACACTCAAAACAGTGAGTTGGGGACCAAGGGCTGGGTATGGAGAAGAATGCAGGGGAGGGAATGAGCGAGATAGATGGGCTGGGAGAGGGCCCAGATGAAGCCGGGATTCCCAGCTAACCAAATAACACCATGGGACTAGTCCTGTAATCACATGCTGCCGCCAAGAGGGCAACAGTGTGGACCCATGTCAAAGTCCCAGTCCCAGATCACCTGGCTCAGCTCCACATGGGCAGATCGTCTGCATTCACTGAGGAAAACACACCCAGCCTGGCCTGTGCATCCTGCTTCCTCACCGTCAGCTGAGGAGCCCAGCCGGGCACTCTCATTGGCCTGTGCATCTACCTCACCTGGGCAGGGCTCCAAGCCAAGCTGCTCCCAAAACTATATCTGGCCGTCTCTCCGAGTCGTCTGCACCGGGACCTGGGAAGTCCAGTGCCTTCCACTCAGACACGATGAGCACAGTGGTGCCTGTCCTGCTGTCCCTGCTGCTTGTTGTGAGTCCTGCAGTCCCCCAGGACACTCAAGACGGTGAGTTGGGGACCAAGGGCTGGGTATGGAGAAGAATGCAGGGGAGGGAATGAGCGAGATAGATGGGCTGGGAGAGGCCCCAGATGAAGCCGGGATTCCCAGTGCACAGTAGGAATGGGTGTTGGAGGCTGTCAGCTACCTCAGCTCAC